ACGTTACCTGAACTTTATCCAATTATCTTTGCATTCGTTCCTCTCTAACCTCGAAGGTCCCGTTAATTTGGTTCACCACAAGGAGGGAGTCACACTTAGCTTCGATCACCTATGCTCCTAGGCTTTTGGCTAGTTCAAGACCTGCAATCATGGCCTCTGTCACGCCTCGAATTCAGGGAGCGCGACCGGCGCTCAACCGATTGAACCCAGCCGAGCAATCCTACTAGATGCCTTCTACCCAAACTTACCCATGAATAACGAGAAGATATCTTTTCATTAATAAGACATTAAGAAGATCGTGTATACAACATCAATCCATTACTATTAGCTACTTCATTCATAAGTCCCTAAAATGTTACATTACACTTGTATAGTTTAGAAATAGAACATGTGATACAATTACAACATCATTAGTTTGACCTTCCCAATACCAATGTACAACCCACACCATGTCTATGGAGCCTATAACGGGTACAAAAGAGTACTAGGATAATGCCGGCAACACGGCCCCTACTATACCTCATACACAATACATGAGAAAACAAAAGGTACATGACCCTGATATGAAATGGGGCTCACCAAGTACCTGAGAGGAGGATATACTATTGTCACTGATCGATGTCGCCTGCTATGGAACCACCTGCATCCATTAAAAGATGCAGTGCCCCCGGCAAAAGGGGCGTGAGTACATGTGGAATAGTACTCGTATGTAAGGCAGATAGAACAACATATGAAGATATGGTAACTCAAATAAGAGGCAAATAATGGACATCAAGGAACTACGAAACATCCCATAGATTCAAATTTCAAGTCTTATTATACTTACATCATTTTAAACCTCTTTTAGGATCAACTGAGCCATATGAACTATACGTGGAATACGTAATATAATGTAATTGAAACAACATGTACAAACAACGCCAATGAAAGTGGCACATATTGTCTGCGTTAATAATACGTCTCACTAGACCGTCCATATCCCTCTCTTATTTTACGACCATACATTTCATAGACCATTCTTAGTGTTCACATGTCATATTATACACATATGTGTCTCATAGACTGTCCATAGTATTTATTCATACCGTACACCTATACATTACATACACGATACACCTATGTGTTTCATAGACCATCCATGGGATTTCATATACAATATGCCTATGTATTTCATAGACTATCCATAGGATTCTATACACAATATGCCTATGCATTTCATAGACCGTCCATAGGATTCCATACACAATATACCTATGTATTTCATAGACCGTCCATAGGACTCCATACACAATGCACCTATGTGTTTCATAGACCGTCCATAGGATTCATAACATAATACACATATGCGTTTCATAGACCGTCCATAAGGTTCATAACACATCATTATGCACATAACTATATATAAACTCAAGTGACATGACTAATGCTACTTTTAAGGTCGTAAGTTCCCGGATCATTGGAACACTTCATGTTCATGCTCATCATGGAGAAATATAGCTCCTTACATTAACACATGCATGACCAATCATTAAGTAGATTTCAATGGTACATAGACCCAATTTCTTTCCTTAAGGTTCATCATCATTTAGCATAGGACATCTCTTTTACACCTCATTATATACCTCTTTGTCATCTTGGGTCACTAGCTAAGTTCATGATTCTCGTTTTGGCAACGGCCACAGTTCATGTTCATACTACCACTTACTTGTACTAGTCACAGTGATCATAGGACATTAATGACATTATTATATAAAGGAGTCAAAACTCATCTCATAATGTTTCACACATTCTTTCATTTCATTGGCACTATTGGCCACAAATGTAATTCTCATTCTTGGCACGGTGGTCACATTTCTACATCTCATACTCGCTTCATTCACTTTCAAACATCATTACGGATCATCAACAGTAAAGCATTTCTATTCAAGACTTTAAGTCCACATGTGAGTAGGTACGAATATTAAGCACATTGAGATTTCTTACACAATTTGGCATAATATATTTCATTTGGGCTGCGACTTGATGGTGTAACAATTAGATATGCAACCCATGATTCGAACACATTTTCAAATAGCACATAACATAATACGAACATTTGGAATACATATTGAGCATATATCTTTTGGACACAAGGTTTATTCGAAATAATCAATTTGTAAAGAGTAACTCGGGACTTACAAGAACATCATGGGATTCAATTCTAGGAGAGAAGTTTAGCCAACATACCTTGCTTCGAGCCTTTTACTTTACTACAATATTCCGAAAATCCCAGTCATTTTGATATATTTAGAGATATAGAAAAATTGAACACAAATTAGGAAGAAGTTCATGGTCCAGCTTATTTAAGCATTTTATCAAATACTATGTGTGCAAATTTGTTACAAGGTCCTTTTACAAGATTTCCTTCACCCACAACCAACTCAACACTAAGAGTTCACCCATACTAGGTCAATGATCTTTCCACAACCCTTGAGGGTACATGCATAGATAAATAACTCTCCCACACCTAAGATTCATACTTTCAGTAACCACATTCCACCCCAAATTCGAAATTGAAGACTATGGTTAGAACCTTACCTCTTAGATGAAGATCTTGTGATTGGCTTCCTTGATTCTTGAAGATTAGGGCAAGAATGGATGATTAGAATGTTAGGTTTCCTCCTTCTATCTAAAATACTCTTACCTCTCTCTAAAATCATCAGTTGGTCGCCCCAAAATAAGCACCAAAGGCTATTTATCAAAATAGAGTCGGGTTATAAAAATCAGAAAATGGACCATCTGAACTCAGGTCTGCGGTCCCAGAATGGACCGCATAACAGGTATGTGGTCCGCAAAATGGACCGCAAAACTGATGTCCAGAATGGGGTTGCACTGGTCAGGTCTGCGACCGTTCTGCGGTCCGCAAACCACTTATGCGGTTGCAGAATGAATTATGCGACCGCAGAATGGGTGCAAAATAACTTTCAAAATTCAACAACTCTCTGCTCAACTATGCGATGGTTATGCGGCCCGCAAACCTATTCTGTGGTCGTAAATATGACCGCAGAATCGCTTTCTCTTTCAAAAAAATTTCCATCAACTCTCAGTGCATTCTTCAACCCAAAAAGTCTGTGCCGCGGCTTGCAAGCTCGCCACGAAGAATTTCTACAATTCTCAAACACGTAAGCCTACCTCGTCTCCAAAAAACCTTAAATTCCTTTACGAAATTTTACGGGGCCTTACAGCCTCGTACTCGGCTTCATTGTAAGTCAATTTTACAGTCCGGATAGATTGTCTAACTATATTACCTACGGGTGGTTTCAATACAACTCCAAGTCCAGACCCATTCGCATTTGAGGCACCGTCCGTAAAGAGGGTCCAGATTTCCGAAGAGGTCCCCGAGTTCAATAACAACTCTCTTTCAACCTCGGAAATTAGGGCCGGTGTAAAATCGACCACAAAGTCTGTCAAAATTTGAGACTTAATGACGGTCTGAGGCCGATATTCGATGTCGTATCCACTGATCTCTACGGCCCATTTGGCTAACCGTCCCAAGAGCTCGGGTTTATGCATTACATTCTTCAAGAGGTAAGTGGTTACGGCACATATGGGGTGACATTGGAAGTATAGTTTTAGCTTTCCATAGGCGCTTAGCAAAGAGAGCGTCGGCTTTTATAGGTGAGGGTACCTAGTTTCAGCCTCGCCAAGGGTCCTACAAACATAGTAAATTGGAAATTGCGTACATTTCTCCTCTCGGACCAGGACTCCACTTACTTCTATCTCAGATACTTCCAAGTATAGGTATAGTTGTTCGTCTGCCTTCGGCGTGTGAAGCAGCGGCTAGCTCGATAGATATCGCTTGAGCTCCTCCAAGGCCTGTTGGCATTCCAGATTCCAGGAAAAGTTATTATTTTTCTTCAACAGTGAGATGAAACGTGGCTCTTATCGGACGACCTCGAGATAAATAGTCCCAAGGAGGCTATGCGTCCGGTTAACCTTTGTACGGCCTTCACATTGTCTATAACAATGATATCTTCGATGGCCTTGATCTTATCGGGATTGATCTCGATCCTCCAATTGGACACCATGAATCAGAGGAATTTACCGGACCCGACTCCAAACGCATATTTCTCCGGCTTCAGCTTCATATTATATTTCTTCAGTATGCGGAAGGTTTCCTGCAAATGTTTTAAATGGTCCTCTGCTCCCAAGGACTTAACCAACATATCGTCAATGTAAACCTCTATTGATTTTCCTATTTGTTCTTCGAACATTCGATTTACTAGGCGTTGGTAAGTGGCGCCGGTGTTTTTTAATCTGAACGGCATCACGTTATAGCAGTAGGTGTCATACTTAGTGATGAAGGAAGTTTTTTCCTGATCACCCAGGTCCATCTGAATTTGGTTGTACCCGGAATAAGCGTCGAGAAAACTGAGAATCTCGTGGCCGACCGTTGCATCGATCATGCCATCGATGTTAGGAAAAGGAAAGGAGTCCTTGGGACACACCTTATTCATATCTTTATAATCCACATACATTCTTAATTTGTTCCCCTTTTGGGGGACTACTACTATGTTTGCTAACCAGTCCGGGTATTTTACCTCCCGGGTAGAACCTATTTTAAGGAGTTTAGATACATTGTCCTTGATGAAGGCATGTTTGACCTCGGACTGGGGCCTCCTCTTCTGCTTGATCGGGTGGAACTTAGGGTCCAAGATCATCCTGTGAGTGGTTATTTCCGGTGGGATCCCTGTCATATCAAGGTGGGACCAAGCAAAACAATCTTCGTTAGCTATAAGAAATTGAATGAGTTTTTCCCTGAGCTCGGGATTTAATCCCATGCCCAGGTATACCTTTCGATCGGGAAAGCGTTCGATCAATACGACTTTTTCCAGTTCCATGACCGTTGATTTGGTAGCAAAGGAATCATCGGGGGCTACAAAAGACCTGGGAAGCTCTTAGTCGTCGTCCTCACCCATCTCCTGCCTCTCCGGTCGGGACAGAGTTGGCATCGGTAATTGCTATTTGGTTTCTCCCTTGGTAACTAGACCCAGCTCCTTTGGTGTCAAAAGTGTGGATATCGGGACCACCTCGTCGACTGCAAACATCTCTTTTGCGGTCGGTTGTTCTCCGTAAACTGTTTTTATTCCTTTCGGCGTCGGGAACTTCAACACTTGGTGTAGAGTCGAGAGGACCGCCCTCATGTTGTGAATCCAAAGTCTCCCAAACAAAGAATTGTACCTCATGTCCCCTTCGATCACATAGAACTTGGCTTCCTGAACGGTCCCGACAGTGTTCACCGATAATGTTATCTCCCCTTTAGTGGTCTCACACGCCATGTTAAACTCGTTTAAGACTCGGATTGCAGGCACAATCTGATCTTGCATGCCGAGCTGTTCCACAGCCCTCGATCTAATGATGTTGTCTGAGGTACCTGGATCAATTAATACACGCTTAACTCGAGATTTATCAATAAGTACTGATATTACCAGTGCATCATTGTGGGGCTGCATGATCCCTTCAGCGTCTTCGTCATTGAAGGATAAGGTTCCCTCCGGCACATAATCCCGAGTTCGTTTTTCCCTTGTGATAGATACTTTGGTACGCTTCAGCATCGGCACTAGGGAACATCGACCCCACTGATGATCATGTTGATGGCGTTTTGAGGTTCCTCATGTTCTATCTATTTACCAGAATCTCTGTTCCTGAGTGGTTCTTGGCTCGATCGCTCAGGAACTCTCGGAGATGCTCGTTATTGAATAGCCGGGCTACTTCCTCTCTCAACTGTCGACAATCTTATGTCATGTGACCATGAGTGCCATGATATTTGCACATTAGGTTAGGATCTGTTTGTGCTGGATCGGACTGTAAAGGCCGGGGCCATTTGGTGTCTCTGATATGTCTGATGGCGGCGACGACGACGTTAAAGTTGTACTCCGATAATCTCGGTTCTTCCTTCGGCCCGATGGGCCTGTCGAAGCCGTTTTTGCTCATGAGTCCCCGACTATTTTGACCTCGGTTACTTCTTCTTTCATTTTTTATGGGGTTTCGTCTGGATCCACCGCCCCTTCGGCTCTATTGTATGGATGGTACTGATACATGTACGACCGTGGTTCATAATCAATGTCTCTTCTACTCTGTCAACTGTTCTGACGGGATAAACAGACCCGGATGGGGCCCCGAGTTGATCATCTCCGACCCTGATTTTCGATTGATACCGATTATGCACGTCGGCCCAAGTGACGGCCGGATATTTTACCAGATTTTGCTTTAACTGTTATGATGCCAACGAGCTTCGAGCATTGAGTCCCTGGGTGAAGGTCTGAACGGCCCAATCGGATGCGACTAGAGGCAAGTCTATCTGTTCCATTTGAAACCGGGACACAAATTCCCTAAGCATCTTATTTTCCCTCTACTTTACTTTGAAAAGGTTCGACTTTCTGGTCTCGACCTTGATAGCCCCGGCGTGCTCTTTTACGAATGAATATGCAAGCAAAGAAAACAAGTCAATAGAGTTGGGAGGTAGGTTGTGATACCATATCATAGCACCCTTGGATAAAGTTTCCCCGAACTTTTTCAGTAGAACAGACTCGATCTCGTCATCCTCCAAGTCATTTCCTTTGATGGCACATGTGTAGGAGGTCACATGCTCATTCGGATCGGTTATTCCGTTGTACTTAGGAATTTCGGTCATGCAGAACTTTTATCGGGATCGGCTTCGGAGCTGCGCTCGGAGGAAAAGGTTTCAAAACAAACTTTTTGCAATCCAGGCCCTTCAATATCGGGGGTGCTCCTAGGATTTGGTCGACCCTGGAATTGTAGGTTTCCACCTTTTTGTCATTGGCTTCAATTTTTTTCTCCCCCGATTCTATCCGTTTTGTCAACTATTCGAGCATTTTTATGATCTCGGAATTACTCCCCGATTCATTTTAATTCGTCCTTTCCGTGATCGGTTCATTTCTACGGGTGACTTCCCAAGGTGGCTCGGGCTCAGCCCTACTCGGTGCTCGACCTTGGTTCTGCAACTGAACTATCGCTGTTTGTTGTGCCTGTAACATTTCGAAAATCACTCGCAAGTTGATCCCATCATTTTCGCCGTTGTGTGTATTCTGGGCAATTGAATGGACTTCCCTGCGTACGCTGTTTTCGGGGTCGGTAGTTTGATTTGTGTCGATGTCCACATGCGAACTGGCGTCGATGGGGTCCACCACCGGGATTCCACCGAGATCGACCGGGGGCACCTCGTTACTGGGTGTTGCATTGTTGTTTTCGCCATGGTGGCTGGACTCTGTGTCCGTGTTTAGAGGAGCAGACTGTGGGTTTGACATTTAGATTTTAACTTGGAATCAAAAACACTTCAAAGAACAAGTGTAAAATAGGGTTTGTTATCGTAATTTGTATCAAATTGCCGCTATTATCCTTAGCTCCACGGTGGGCGCCAAATTGTTTACCCTCAAAATCGGATAACTATTAAATTTGTAAGTAGTTATAAGAATACGCGGATTAACTTGACACAAAGTGATAAATTAAGTTGCAATTGAATAAATAATGACATAGTAAATTCAAACCACACGAATTGGACAATTTCAGCCTTGAAGGAACAATCACCCTCGAGTTGAATATACCACGATCGGTCTCAAGATACAGATGAACAAGAGATTAAAGAGAAAATAATAATGTATTGCTTTTGAGTGCGTGTTACAATATATTTTATGAATTATCAGACCCTCTTTATATAGTAGAGGTGTCCTGCTTTAGGTACAATTCTATAAAAGGTAAAAATCTCTTGATTTACTGATTGCCGGTCCCTTATTGATATGTGCCGAGATTCCGCCATAATATCCGGCCGGTCACGGATATTTCGATCTTCTGTTGGCTATGCTAACAATGTTTCTTCGAGGTCGTTCGAGGCTAGGACCGATTCCAGGACCACGGCCTCGATATTCTCGAAGGCATGCGTCTTGCCCCCGGGTTCTAACCCAGTCGGGCTCGGGGTCGATCTTAAGTCATTTATTGTCATGTCTCTTTTTATCTTCAGTCCTTTAGGATGCACCATGAGCTCGATTTCGACCGTATAAAGGATTAAATTGTGATCTAAAAGGTCGACTAATTGCAAGAAAAATAAAAAGAGAATTATTTACCAAACAACTTATACAAAAAGGGAGATATAGCAAAATTTCACAGAGTGAACGATGTGAAAGAAGAAGAAAAAGAAACATCTATCCGTTTAGCAGCACTAATGATATTCTTAACATTAAGTTCTTGATAAGATTTAGAATATTCGATTTGATCATATAAGAAAAAATAAATGTTCTATAATTAATGTATTATTTGATTAGCTGTCANTCAAGATTTTTATTATTCAATAAAAATTTGTCAAGAGCACCTTTTTGAGATTGTATTAGATTTTAAATTCTTCTTCTTTTCTTGAGTTTTTCATAACCAGATTCACACTTTTTATTTGACATACTTATCTTCTAATAATAATAAATAATCTAAAAATACACTAAATAGTAAAATATTAAATTTTAAATGAGAAAATAATAAAAAGATAGAATAAATAGCAAAATATTAAATTTTAGATGAGAAAATAATAAAAGATAGAATAATAGAACCTGGTTTAAAAACGGATAGCTTGATATGAAATTAAATTTTCTGTTCGAGTATGCTTGTTGTAACTTGTAAGACTTGAATCATGAAAATAGAACAAACAAAACACTCCGCTATTTCTTGAATCAATACACTGAACTCTGAAGTCTGAAGATCCAAAATAAAGCTTTGATCTTTGGCTATTGAAGAATGAAGAATGAAGAATGGAGTGTGATTAATGAACCGTTGAAAAATGGAGTAAAAACAAAGTATAAAATATAATATAGTGGCATAGCTATTAGTGCACAATGCACACATTGTCTACTTGTCTTCACTTTGCTCAACAAAGTTTTGTGAGTAAGAACAAAGTATAACATATAATATAATGGCATAGCTATTAGTGTACAGTGCACACGTTGTCTGCTTGTGTTCACTTTGCTCAACAAAGTTTTGTTTGAGAAAGTTGTGGACTTGTGGTCCACTATCTCAAATTTGTGTTCAAACTTTCCGTTTCATTTTATATTTTTTTTAATTTATAAATATAATATAGATATAACCAAAAAATGGGAGGCCCATAAATGTGGGGCCTAAAGCAATTGCTTTACCCGCTTTATAGACAAGCCGCCCCTGGGTGAAACTCACTCTATGTGCCAATTCAGCGAGAAGTGCCTAATTAGAACACATTTCGGGTAGTATAAGTGCTCGATAGGAACACCCTTAAGTTTAGATGTCTAAATGAAAAATTATGTCAATTTTAAGTATCTCTGTATGTGTTCAGCCAGTATCTAGTAATGATTTGGACTTATGTTAGAAAAGTCTATACATAGTTACAACTTACACGTAAAAATGATGATGTGTGCACTATGGTTAAGAAATAAGTGAAATTCTGGATATTTTTTGCGACTAATCTAAGAAATTGATTGCTATCAGAATATCGAGTGCTACTACAACATTAATTCTGTACACATTATATTGAAATTCATTGGAGGTACAAAAAGTGGAAAGGAGACCTTTGCTTTAAGAAGTTTTCAAGTTTCTTTCTCCTTTGAAAACAGACGCTGTTTTGTCATATGACTTTTTAGACAGGAAAATGGTTTGGAAAAATGGAGAACACGGGTAAATAAAATATAAAAAGATCTATTCAAATTAAAACTGATCAATGAGGACGATCATTTTCACTTTTGTACGGCATAGTGCATAAAGTTAAACATTAAGTGGTCGATTGGTAGGGTGTATAAGAATAGTGTTGAATAAAGTATATCAGTAATGTAGAGATTAGTAACGAATGAATTAATAATACAAGCATTAGTTATGTAGAAATTATTTCTTATCTACTGTTTTGGTACGGTGTATTAAAAATTAAAATGCAATGTATAATTTTAAAAAAAAATAGTTGTTTATAGAAAAACCCCCCATATTCTTTTGTTTTAAGGGACTTCAAGGACAATTTTGTCTTTAACCATGCTAATGCATGCATTAATAGCCTTGGTACTGCTAATACTATAGTTTGCGGAGTATGTTATGCATAGGATAATACCAAATAAGTTATATAACTAATACTTGTATTAGTTATTACGTAAGTTGAAAAATTATACCAAACAAAGAATTAGTAATACCAAAAACTAATGCATGCATTATTTTCTCTAATGCATCCTACCAAACAGACCCGTAAGGATTTTTTAGGCACTGACCTTCGTCCTCAACTGTCATCTTTCTCATGGATTCTTGAGTTAAGTCTAAAAAACCTGTATAAACATGTTTTACTCCTGATGTACACACAATCAGAAAATGATTGATAGTTTATCCCTTGACAAGGTAACAAGTCTAACTAGTCTGATATAAGATTATACATGAGAAATTAAGAAATTAGACTATGAAAAAAATGGTACTAAAACATACAAGCCACCCTGTAAGTTGTATGCTGCTATCTGTGCATTTTTATCAAAAGAAAACGAACCACACTCCCGCAACGATTAATCAGCTTGCTGCAAAATCTTCTTCCCAGCAGAGACCATCCCATGATAAA